AGTGCTTAGGGAGTAGGCGGGCACAAAGGTGTAAAACTCTTTTAACTCTTGGTTGGTTCCTATACTTTAAAGCCTTTAATGCTGAATTAATACCAGTGATGCTAATGGAGAGCTAAAAGTGTTTAAAATTACTCCTTAAAAGATGTAGTTCCACTTTCTGTGATGGAAAATATTCATATAAAAGCCATAACCTTTTAGTCAAAATAGAGGGTGGAAAAAGTATGGTTGACAAAACCTCTTAATGAGTTATATTTGACTACTAACAGGCAGGTCAGACGTTTGTATAAAGTGCTTTTATATGAGATATTTTAGAATAAAAATTTTCATCCATCATGTTTTTAAGTGGTATTTAAAAAAAAAAACAACCCTCATTTAGTGGATTATATGGTAAGAGAAGGGAATTACAATACCAAAAATGGTCCGACTTTAGATATCCATTAAAAATTTTAAGGAATATCTTAACAAAACTAGAAACTTTAGTTTTTTGTTTTGTTTTGTTTTTTTTTTTTAGATTTTATTTATTTATCAGAGAGGGAGAGGGAGAGAGAGCGAGCACAGGCAGACAGAATGGCAGGCAGAGGCAGAGGGAGAAGCAGGCTCCCTGCCAAGCAAGGAGCCTGATGTGGGACTCGATCCCAGGATGCTGGGATCATGACCTGAGCCGAAGGCAGCTGCTTAACCAACTGAGCCACCCAGGCGTCCCAAGAACATTAGTATTTTTAATTCAGCTACATGTAATATTTTAAGGCCAAAATTTGAAGGTTTACTGACAATGCTGAATATCAACGTTTTTCTGTAAGGTTCTTATGAAATCGTATAAGTATTTTGCAATGTGTTAAACTTAAATAATATGTCTTCTCATTTTTAAAATAGAAGATCTCTCAGGAGAGTCTGACCAGTTGCATAGCTTATGTCAATTTTGAAAACGTCTTCAACAGAATACTTTTCTCAAGTTGTGAAATATTATTTTCACAAAGTAGATAGTGCCTCACCAATGTAACAGGAATGACTCTAATCCTGCTCCCCAAGAGCTATTACAATTTATTTACTTAATTCACTATTAAAAGAAATAGGCTATCACTTGGTTCTTGGAAGACTACTTTTTTTAAAGAATTGATTGATTAATTGAGGGAGAGCCCATGTGAGCCCCCGCCAGGATGGGGGGTGGGTGGAGACGCAGGCAGAGGGAGAGAGGCAGGCCAAGCCAGGTTTGACCCAGGCCCCTGATATATCATGACCTGAACTGAAATCAAGATTTGGACATTTAACCAACTGAGCCACCCAGGCGCCCTTGGAAGACTGTTTTATACTGAGATTTTTCTTGAAACTAGAGTCAACTTAACAGCATTTTAAGTCTATATTATCAGCATAAGCTAAGAAAACTAGAATGTAGTTGTTTCTTTAGAAAACAGGTTGTCAGGGGCACCTTGGTGGCTCAGTGGATTAAGCCGCTGCCTTCGGCTCAGGTCATGATCTCGGTGTCCTGGGATCAAGCCCCCACATAGGGCTCTTTGCTCAGCGGGGAGCCTGCTTCTCTCTCTCTCTCTTTGCCTACTTGTGATCTCTCTCTCTAATAAATAAATAAAATCTTTAAAAAAAAAAAAAAAAAAGAAAACAGGTTGTCTTAGCAGAGAATTCCCGGTTTTCCTCAGTCTACCTTTATGAAGCCCTTTAGTTCATACAATTACAAACTAGAATAGTTATTTTGCTCCGTGTTTCAATTACACTTTTTCTGAGAAACTAGTCATTGTACACATAAGATCAAACAGTAATGAACATGCAATCAACCGTGACCCTTTAAGTTTTTGGCCAGTGTTCTGAAAGAACCTGAAACCTGACAATATAGTAAGATATTCTTGATTTTAATTTGTAACCTTTTTACTATAAACGTGGAAGTTGAATATGGTTTTTGAATTTTATGAACCATATACTTAAAATCACCTTTAAAAAAAAAAAAGATTTTGTTTGAGATAAAGAGCATGGCAGGGGAGTAGTAGGGGGCCAGGGGCAAGGGAGAAGCAGGCTCTCCACTGAGGAGGGATCCTCAGATGACCTGGGGCTCCATCCCAGGATCCTGAGATTATCACCTGAGCCAAAGGCAGATGCTTAACTCACTGAGCCACCCAGGTACCCCCAAATCACCAAAATCACCTTTATTTTTAAGATTTTGTCAGAGAAGGAGAGCGCACGCACAAGCAGGGGTGCAGCAGGCAGAGGGAGCAGCAGGCTCCCCACTGATCAAGGAGCCTTATGCAGGACTCCATCCCAGGATGCTGGGATCATGACCTGAGCCAAAGGCAGACATTTAACTGACTGAGCCACCCAGGCATCCCATAATCACTTACTTTTAAAAGACCATAACCGTCCATCTACTTTGCACCCACCTACCTCCACAGGTTGATACTATTTATTTCCAGAGGTTCAGAGTTGCAGTATATTCCTAGAATATAAGATTCATATAGCCCTTTCCCCCAAACAGAATAAAAACATTACAGTTTGGGGGAGAAAATACTAATGATGGGTTATAATAGTGTATATATTTTTTAAATATTTTATTTATTTGACAGAGACCCAGAGAAGGAACACAAGCAGGGGGAGGAGGAGAAGCAGGCTTCCCACTGAGCAGGGAGCCCCATGTGGGCCTTGATCCCAGGACCCCGGGATCACGACCTGAGCCAAAGACAGACACAACAACTGAGCCACCCAGGCGCCCTAATAGTCTGTATTTTTTATTTCAATATTTCACGACTTAAGTAAAAAAATGGTATGTCATTATATTGAGAGAAGTTGAATCAACCTGTTATGTCTGACTCTATCAGAGAGTGTATTTCCAAAAAAGTTTCTTGACTGAATTATCTTCATATTTAATTTCTTAATTTTATAAACATCTTTTTGAAGGTATACAAATTTTCCAGAAGGCCTAAATTGACCTTATAAACCAATGCCAGAGTTCATGATATGATCCTAAATGCCCTATTCATCAAGGGAGGGATTTAGATGCTAAGGTGCATAATCATCATTTAATGCTTGAAAATGTTTTCTAGCCAAATATAGGTTAAATTCTGACTCCAAAAGCCATGTCTCACTAAACCACTGGCCCTTAAACTATTGCAAGTCATGGACTTGTTTGAAAATCTACAGGGCCTAGACCTCAAGTTTTGGTTCCATGATGCCAAATTAACATCTCTGCACCACACCATACTAAGTATCGTGTGTGTGTGCGTGCGCACGCATTTTTTTCTTTTCGCTAAGTAAACTGTGTCCTCTACCCTTTGTGTGGGACTCAAACTCACCACACCAAGATCAAGAGTCATCCTCTACCAACTGAGCTAGTCAAGTGCTCCTAAGTAGCATATATTTATCTACATACAAATACTCCAAATACTCTACCACCTGTATGGAAAACAAATATTAATATTTAATTCTAAGAAATTAAAATTTTAATAGAGTTTAGAGGAAGTGTAGAAATATTTCTAAATACTTCAGATTTTTACTAATTTTGCCTCTTGCAATGGGATGAGAATAAAGGCAGACATTCTTATGTGTAATACAACAGTTGCATTTCAAGTAAACACTACAAATAATATATAAAGTCCTGAAACTAGTTTTAAGATTTACTTGAGACCAAGAGAGAGAAAACTCACAAGCACAAGTGGGGAGGAGGATTAGTGGGAGAGGGAGAAACAGACTCCCTACTGAGCAGGAAGCCCAAACTGGGGCTCGGTCCCAGGACCCTGAGATCAGGACCTCAGCTGAAGTCAGATGTTTAACTAACTGAGCCACCCAGGTGTCCTGAAATTAGTTCTGTTCATTTAAAAATAAGTTAGCCCAGCGCAAGATGAAATCCTAGGCTTCAAATAAAAAAATTGGTGTATTCCACTGTTTGCAGCTCCAAGTATCAGCTGTTATACAGAAATTATTTTTAAAGATTATATTTGAGAATATATTTATTTGAGAAAGAATGAGCAAGAGAGAACACAAGCAGGGGGGTGGGTGGGTAGAGTGAGAGGGAGAAGCAGATTCCTCACTGAGGAGGGATCCTGACATGGGGTGCAATCCCAAGACTCCTGGATCATGACCTGAGCTGAAGGCAGACACTTAACTGACTAAGCCACCCAGGTGCCTCCAGAAATTATTTGTGTATTATTTATGGGGAGAAAGAAAACAAACAGTTGTAGTGGCCATTTTAATTTTTTTTTTATATTAACTTATCCTCTGACCCTGAACAAATGTAGACAGCTAGTTCTCCTATACTAAACTTGGGAAGTACCTGAGTAAATATATTATCTTTAAAGGAAATGATCACAGATGTGTGAAACATTTGCTTTATTTATTAACAGTCTTATCCTAAGTATCCTCTCCTAAATGGTCTAAGAAACAATTCTATAACAAAAGTGAATCCTAGAAGAGATATACTCAGAAGACAATTTCTCAAGGAACCAGCACAACTGTCAATTTCCACTTAGTCACAGAACCCATTTACACTGAAAGCTTATAATCATTTATTTTTCTAATTCTATTCTCTCCTTTCCCTCTAAACATTATCTCAGTTTAGCATATATCTGTCAAAGCATCACAGTCAGGGAGGGGCAAGTCGGGAGCCAAGCCACTGCCCACTCCCAAGTTTAATAGTATGTGGTATGTGACCTAGTGGGTATCACTGAGCCTCTCTGCATCCCCTTTCCTTATCTGCAGTGGTATTTATCTCATACAGCTGTTGTGATGATGAGTAAATAATGTAAAACTTACAGAGCAGTGCCAAGTAAATGTTCAAAAGAGTCTCAACTATTATTCCAGTTTTTCCATCAAATCAAATAGTATCCTCCTAAGCAGCCTGAAGAATACAATGGAAAACCAAATCAGAGGTAAATTAAAGGGTAAGAATCTTCAGAAATACTGCTGTATTAAATTTTTACTAAGATATAATCAAATGCAAAGTATAGACACTATAATCAATTCCTACTTAGTATTTCAAATAACAGTATTTCAGGTAACTGTGTGGATAAACCCAAACATTTATTTAGAAAATATAAAACATTACTATTTGTCTGTTCTTTCTTTGGACTATCCTTTAGATTTTCAACAGTGCCACATAATTTTATGACTAAATTTTATTACAGCTGAACACTTCAAAGAGTTGTAGTTTTGAAGTTAATTCTATTAATGATTAAAGAAAGTGTATTCAGAAGGTACTGTACAGTTTACATAAATTTATGGTACTTGTCCAAATATTACCAGCATATAAATTATTTTGTAAAGTTGTTTCTTACATAGGGTCTAAAATGCAACGAAAAGTGGAATTAGTATTAAAAAAAAAAAAATAGAAGCAACACTGGCTCCTATATGCCAAAAATATAAGACAGATTTTTTTCTTAAGCACTCTAGTCACAAATATTAACTATATGGGCTGAGAACTTTTAATTTTCAATATACTTCAACAAAGTACACAAGTAGAACTCTATAAATATATCCCCTATAATAATCATATGCAAAACCATTTTATCACAAATACTACCAAAACCCTCTGAAAAACGTAAACTACAAACACATTTTTAAAGAAATTCTCAGTTTTAACAACTACAAAAGCAATATCAATAAAGTTATTTGGTTTATAAAAATGAAGAGCATGTAAAGTAAATCTGAATACCACAAAGCTTATTGAGGATGCAGTCTTGAATTCTTTAATACAAGATACTAAACACTTTCAAAAATAACAGGACTTACTCTATGCAATTTAAAGTCTTGAGCTGGAACTCCAAAAAGAAAAAATTAAATAGTGGATGAAAAGTAGATATGTAGAAATAATGTTAAAAAAACTTTTTATACAAAATGTACCACTCTTCAAATGTATAAGGCTTAATATGAGTATTTTTGGATAATGAGTCCTGCACAGAATTTTTAGAGAAGTAGTCTCCAACCATTCAAAACTCAGTATTTTTTAAAACATTTTCCTATTTTCAGTGAAAGTGAATGAACACGGTACAGGATGCAACTTAATGTCAATTTATCTATACTGTTCCACACAGTAAAAATAAAAGCTTTTTTAAGCTCAGGAGAGAATGTATTTTTTGAACACTTGATCTCTAGATAAATTCTACTTTTAGGAATGTCAGAATTTTGTAATATGAACTAATATCCACTAGGAACTGGCCCAAGTTTAAACAGAAGATACAAGAGAGTCATCAAGGTATCAAGTAGTTTAAGTCTGCCCTATGTAATTATACAGTTATAATTACTTTTTACATGAAAGTAAAAGTGCTTTAAAGGAAAAAATATTTTTGTAAAAGGTATCATTAATATTACTAATACTTCATATCCAAGTAGGATTTTCCACATTAGTTCCATTTTACCCATTTCCCTTGAAAAGTATCCTTCTGCCACAATGTAAACAAAAAAACGGTCCATAAAATGGTGACATATCAGACACATCATAATTTGTGGTATGGGCCCTTTCAATTGAGACCAAGTCTTTATTACCCCAAAACTAGAGATTTTATTTGTTGCACATGCCCAAAGTAACTCACATTTTCTATAAGCCTTGAAGAATTTTTATTTAACATAATGAGAGGTTTAATAACACATTCAAGACTATGTAGCGCTCTTCTGCGGCTGTTCACCAGCTGTTTTTATGACGATAACTCCGAGATCTGGAATGTGATCGAAAATGAGAGTGTTTTGCTGTTTGTGCTTTAACTTCAGAATTGGTATACCCCTTGGGAGATTTACAAGGGGATCTTGCTATGGAGTCAGAATGTCTTCCATGTGATCTTGATTTTGTTCCTGAGCTAGTCTGCTTTTGAGGTGAACTTGATTGTGATTTTCCAATTGACTTGGACCTTTTTGGTAAGGACTTGGACCGTGACCGTCCTCTAGAACCAGAATTCCTTCTTGGAGTTCTTGACTGCCTTGCTGAGGTAGACCGCCTTGGTAGTGATTTGGAGCGAGATTTAGATTGGCTATAAGAAAATCGCCTGTGTCGAGACCTGCAAACATTATGAATGTTAAGAGTATATATTTCACACAAAAACATTTAATGAAAAGTTAGGAAACAGCAATTTCAGGAATTTATACACTTTACATAATGTTAGTTATGTTTTTCCTGGATAAACTAAAAGAAACAATTCTAATTTTATTTTGCATGCTTTTAGTTCAAACATAAGTAACAAGTTTGTAATATTTGTTATACTAGAATCTGTGACCAAATCTGCCTTGCTAGATTTATCTTATGATATGGGTCAGTTCTGAAAAATGCCCTGCATGTTTAATCTGGGTTATACAACTCCCAAGAGGTACGAAAATCTGAAGGAAAGAAAAAAAAAAAAAGAAAAAAAGAGAAAGTAATTAAAGTTTGTCAAATAATGCTTATAAAGACAAACACAAAATCTAGATGCAGGACTTCTGAATCCTGCCATGATAGAACAATGCGTATGAGACTAAACTTCCCGTGGAAAACAACTATATAAAGAAGCTAAATAACATTATATTTAAAAGCACTGGAGAATAACCAACCCTAGGAGAACTTGAGGGATTACAAGCCATGGCTCTTTTATCTAAGACCATTTTCCAAGTGCTGATGGGGAAACTGAACCCAACCAGAAAATGGCTATCTGACTAAGCTGGAGAGACAAGTTAGGATTCAGATTTACCAAAATGGTTGGGACTAAAGAGGCAAAATCTCAAGGAGGGAATGGCAGACAGAAAAATCTCCTAAAATTTTCCTATAAATTCTCTTCAAGTCATTGGCCATCTTTTAAGCTGTGCAAGTACAGGATCAGACTCCAAGAAGTCAGCAAAAATAGCAGTTGGAAGATTCAGGAATTAAGCTGAAATTCTATCAGACACACAGTGCTGGGGAGAGAGACTGGAGTTTAAGCCACCAAAAGGTCAAGGAACTGAGAGTAACAATTCAGGCTTTCAGTTAAGAACCCATGAGGACCATATCCTACAGGTAATGACCACATCCTGAGAGTAAGTATAAAGCTAAAATAAATCAGCCTTAACAATGCCTCAAACCAAGCCTCGAGAGGATCAAGGTGATCTGCCAATACTCCACCTGCTAGAAGAAAACAACTTTCTTTGGAGGGTATCACCCAAAGTGTTTTAAGTTTCCATCAACAATGTCCAACATTCAATACAGACATTATGAGGTATGTGAAAAATAGATAAAAATTACTAAAAGCTAAGGAAATAAAAGACCAAAATAAAACCCAAAACCCAGATGCAAAGTAATATAGATACTGGCATTATTCAGACAGGAATTAAAAAAAATTACTATGACTAGATGCTCAAGGAAGTAAGAAGAAAAGACAGGCAAACAGATTTAAAAAGAGAGACCTCCAAGAGAATACTGGAATCTATAGAAAGAAACAAATGGACATTTTAGAACTGAAAATATATTTCTGAAATTTAAGTCATTAGATCAATATAACAGCAATCTAGATACAGCAGAAGAAAAAATGAACTGAACTGTAAAACAACATAAATACTGAAACACAAGAAAAGGAATTTTAAGAAATCAACAGAGTGTAAGAGAGAATACAGAACATAGTCACACAGTCAAAAAGAAAAACTGAATGTGGCAGAAGCAATATTTAAAGAGATAATGACCTAGAATTTTCCCAAATTAGTGAAAGGTATCAACTCACAATTTCAAGATGCTCAGTAAACCCTGGAGAATAAGACACATTACCTTTATTTAATTAATTAACTATTTACTTTTTTACAGTCCTGTTAAAACAAGGCCTCAAAAAAGTGGTTTAAGAGCCAGTTTTCCTCTCCATGGAAATTTTTTAGTGAAAGGTGTAAGATTTATATAATTTGAAGAGAAACCAGAATTTAAGACACAATACCTTCAAAGGAGCAACATTAAGACTGACAGCTGACTATAAATATCAAGAAACAATAGAATAATATTTTTAAAAGCAGGGGAAAGGGGTGCCTGCTTTGCTCAGTTAGTAGAGCATGCGACTCTTGATCAGCATCCTGAGTTCAGGCCCCATACTGGGTGTAGAGATTATTTACATACATACACATATACATACATACATACAAAAAAAATCCCTGCCAACTCAGAATTCTATCCCCAGCAAAAAAATCCTTCAAAAGTGAATATAAAGTGAAGATTTTTCAGATAAACAAAAGCTGAAAGAATTCACTGCCAGCAGACTTATACTGTAAGAAATACTAAAACTTCTTTAGGATGAAAGAAAATAATCTCAGATAGAAGCATGGAATTATATGAAGGAATAAAGAGCACCAGACAGTATAAATATACTGATCGAGAATATACTCTGGAATAAAAGCAGAAGCTTTTAGAAATTATTAAATTTCGGGGCACCTGGGTGGATCAGTCGTTTAAGCATCTGACTCTTGATTTCAGCTCAGATCATGATCTCAGGGTGGTAAGATCAAGCCCCATGTCAGGCACCACAATAAATGTGGTGCCTGTTTAAGGTTCTGTCTCTCCCTCTGCTTCTCCCCAACCTTTTCTCTCCCTCTCTTAATGAAAAAAAGAAAGAAATTATTAAATTTCATTCCTGTCATAGAAAGCCAAATGGGAAAATTGTCCTTCAGAAAAAAATCCAACATAGGGGGAAAAAAAAGGGGGATGTTACTAAAGAAGGCTGAGGGGCAATTTTTCAGGAATATATATATACACTGAAGTATGAATTCAACAAAAATGTATGGAATGGCTAACATGAGCTAGGGACTACTGCTAAGTGCTGAGGATATAAGCATGAATAAAACGAAACTCCTTGCCCCTCAAAGAGTTCATCATAATCCAGTGGACAGCAACAAACTAGTTTGTTTTTTTAATCCATATCCACTAAAAACAAAATAAGAGGACTCTTTTTAGTCTAAGATAATACCACATATACTGTATTTGCTTATCATTTTGTTAGGCTTATATGAATTCTGCTTCATTTACATATACACACACACACATGCAGACACAAAATCTGATCCTTGCGAATATAAGGAGAGCCAGGTAAAATCTGCATTCTTTATGATACAATTTTACAAATGAAAAAACAGGTCAGGGAGGTTAAGCAATGATGTTATAATGAGTCTAAAGCAAAAGAGTATTGTCTTACAAGATGGGGTTCATTCTATTCCTGATGTTCCATGATGACTTGGGACAATAGACATTTTTTCTTTTTCCCCAGGTAAGCATACTACTCACAGAAAGAGAATATTAGTGTAAATGCTGATCATTCTTTTTTTTTTTTTTTTTAAAGTAAACTCTACATCTGACATGGGGCTAGAACTCATGACCCCAAGATCAAGAATGGCAGGTTCCACCAACTGAGCCAGCCAGGAACCCCAGTGCTAACCTTTAGGAATAGAATTTACTTTTTTTTTTTTTTTTTTTTTAAGATTTTATTTATTGGGGTGCCTGGGTGGCTCAGTGGGTTAAGCCTCTGCCTTCGGCTCAGGTCATGATCTCAGGGTCCTGGGATCGAGTCCCACATCGAGCTTTCTGCTCAGCAGGGAGCCTACTTTCCTCTCTCTCTCTCTCTCTCTGCCTGCCTCTCTGCCTATTTGTGATCTCTCTGTCAAATAAAATCTTAAAAAAAAAAAAAGATTTTATTTATTTATTAGAGAGAGAGTGAAAGAGAGAGCACAAGGAGGAGGAGGAAGAGGAAAGAAGCAGACTCCCCACTGAGCAGGGAGCCTGATGCAGGGCTCAATCCCAGGACTCTGGTATCATGACCTGAGCTGAAGGCAGACACTTAACCAACTGAGGCACCCAGGTGCCACAAGGACAGAATTTACCTTAAAATTCTACATTAAAACTCCAGATAAATACTAAATTATTTAAGGCTTTAGGCATGCTAATACAATTTCATTTATTTAAATAGCTTTACCAAATAATTAATTTCCATTGTGATTTACTATTATTCTAACAGAAACAAAGTCTTGGCTAACAAAATAGACAACATGCAAATATCTTTTTCAAAAAACCTATTATTTTCATGTCTTCTTATAATAATACCATATTTTGAATTTATTTTTAAAAATAACTTATCTCTTACAAATATATTGATTTACATTAATTTTAGTTTCAACCTTTCACAAGTGATTCATTCTATTTCTTATGAGTTTTTATTCACCAGAACTTAAGATTTTTAATTACTGAGTTCAGTTAGGAAAATTTTATTTATTTAAAATTCCTTGGGGCACCTGGGTGGCTCAGTCCATTAAACATATGCCTTCAGCTCAGTTATTATTTAAACAATAACTGAAATTGATCATAGGGTCCTGGGATCAAGACCTGAGTGGGACTCCTTGCTCAGCAGGGAGCCTGCTTCTCCCTCTCCTTTGGTCTGCTGCTCCCCCCGCTTGTGCCCTCTCTCTCACTATCTGTGTCAAATAAATAAATAAAATCTTTCAAATTAAAATAAAATTCCTCATTTTATTCGTCAAGTACACATTTTAAGATTTGATTTTCTTCTTCAGTACATATTATTTTTCTATTAAAAAGGTCTAAGTTAAATCTTCCATGAAATAAAAACACTGGAAGTTATCCAATAAACCCAAGTTAAGTAACAATACATTCCAAATAGAGAATAGCACATCTTTTTTTTTTTTTTTCCTAAAGAGAGAGAGAGAGAGAGAGAGAGAGAGAGAGAGAGGACGGGGCGGGAAGAGGGAGAGAGAGAATCTTGAGCTCCACACTAAGCATGGAGCTGGATGCATGGAGCTGGATGCAGGGCTCGATCTCACAACCCTGAGATCATGACCTGAGCCAAAATCAAAAGACAGACACTTAACCAAGTCACCCAGGCACCCTAAGAGCATATTTTTCTAAAAAAAGTTGATTTTTATGTATATTAAATAAAATTATTCTTGTGGCCTGTTTCTGAAAACTCTTTAAAATGTCTTCCAGGGAAAGTAGAAAATTAAGTTTTTCAATTCTCTTTTATTTGTACTTACTCTTTAAGGCTATCAGACCGTCTCCTATTTCTTCCCCATGAAGAACTTCTACTTCGAGTTCTCCTTTGGCTGGGGCTTCTTGATCTCCTATGATCACTTGGAGAACAAGGGTGACGTTCTTTTGATTTCATCTGGCCTGGTGCTAGAATATGAAATAATTTATTACCTGAAAACCTCAGTAACAGCTACTTTAACAGTATTATTTTCTGAAAGAATTTGAAATAGGAAAAATCTGTCATAACTAAAACTCATTCTGCTGAATAAATAAGATCTAATGTTTAGTTGAACTTACTTTTTCGATCACCTTGTGCAAACTGTATTTCAATTTGACGGCCACATACCCATTTTCTATTGAGGTTATAAAGAGCATCTTCAGCATCGCGAACATCTTCAAATATGACTAGCTGTTAAGGATACTTTGAACATCAGATATCAAGTAAAAAATGTTATTTTTAAAGAATAATTTACATGTGACATGAAATTAACAGGAAAAACAACTCCAAGTTATTAAACTTACATCTCCAATATATATATGTATATATGTGTATATATATATATATATATATATATATAGGCAAAAAGAATTTCACCTTTATTATGAAAACAAATGCCCCCTTATGATTTAGAAGAACCTATCTAAAAGTAAGAACAGAAACAAACACTTAACTATACTTTTAATGTACATTTTATAATGTAGTTGTAGTATGCGTGTATAATGTCAAACAGGTTATAAAAAAAAGTAAGTCCAACCCTGGCTAGTATTAAAAAATAAACTGTACAGGACTCACTCCCTTCTTTCAGGTTTTTCACTGAAAAAGTCAGCACGCAAAAGCCTTTATTCTGAAATTACAATTACTTTTTCACTAAAAGGTATTTTAATTATGATGCTTAGGAGAAATTACTTATTACAAACAAAACTACACAAACACATGTACCCTAAAACATTATACCTTTAAAAATGATATTTACTTTTGAACCTACTACTTTAAAATACTTTTATGTTCTTATTACTTGGGATATAATTATAAAAGAAACACAAAAGCAATCTGTGAACATCCGGAATTACATATACTGGTTTGTAATATCCCACTAAACTTCCTTATCTACATAAATTATATATTAAACCTAACTAAAATGGAAATAAACTGTATAAAATGACTAAATAGCTGTCTTTCAGGAGGTCGTTCACTGTTTTTTTTTTTAAATAGAAAACAGAAAAAGCTCAAGAAATGCAATACAAAATGAGACTTTGGCAATTACCTCAATGTCACTTGATCTTGAACCTTGACCTTTACTCTTTAAGGCTTGCAAGATGGACTTTTTAAGAGACGAAGAACCAACAAAATCAGACTTGGCTTTGACTCTGGAACTCTGAGTAAATGTAGGAAAGCCGAAGTCTCAACCTGGTGTTGGCTTTGTCTTTTGCTTGATAAAGACTTCCCCTCTTCCAGGTCTTTATATCTGTGTCCACCCTCCCTCTTTACTCCTTGATGCTTGGACTTTAGGTGCCTTTTTTCTCGCCTGCTCGGTTTATGCTTGGATTCTAGCTAACAGGTTGGTTCAAACTGGGGGGCGCTTGCCAGCTACTGTGGACTGCTTTAGATTTTCTGAGATAAAGAAATAAACACATTTAATTAGGCAATATTAATCTCATACAACATATGCTCCTGAATACACATGCGCATCTACACATGTATACAGTATATTCACATGCATACAGTAAAACAAAGGATATTGAACATAAGCAAATCCTCTTGGGCGGCGGGTGTAGAAGTCAAGTGGAATGTAAACGTCTACTATAGGGCCATATCGACCAAACTCACGGCGCAAGTCCTCAGGCCTGAAGTGTTTTAGAAATAAGGCAAAGAAATATGAATATCTGGATTAAAATATTTTGCCTACAGAAATCCAGTTGAAACCTTCAAAAGTATATTATCTAAACTAGTATTTTTTAAAATTGTCATAGGAATCACCCAGGGTTTAGAAAGGAAGAAAAAAGAAAACAAATCCTCAGGCCTCATTTTTGGAGGTTCTGATTTAAAAGATCTAGGTTAGGGGCTGGAAATCTGTATTTTTATAAGCACTCCAGGTGGCTGTTATGTTTAATCAGATTGGGGAAACAATGACCCAGGAAAGTTATTATCCATCTTTGAAAATTACTTCTATTATAACATACTTCAATTGTCAATACAAAGAGGTCTATTGACCCTATTTCATTAAGGACACATTCATTTACCTCACTATAATTCTATGTTTATGTTAGTTTTGTTTTCAGATCACAAGAATTAGATTCTAAAGAAGTTCTAAAATTATTTTTCAGGCTTTAAAGAAAAATGGATGTTTTACTTTTAAACATAAAGCAAAATAACTACGGTATTCTTAAATTTGACAAATGTTGTTAAACCTGCTATATGTCATAGGTAGTAAAGAGGGGACACCAAAGGATTATTTAGCATATTTGTCTTCATGGAGCAACAATCTAACTCAAGAGACAAAATACTTAGCTACTATAGCTGAGAATGGTAGTGCATTTATAATGGAGCCACTGTTCACCTCAAGACTTGATAATTTTTACAACCACCCTATGGTTGTTTACAGATGAGGGCACAGACAGATGAATTCACCTCAGGTTACCAAGCCAGCAAATGACAGAACTAGAATCAAACTTCCACAACCTGACACTAGTCTGTGTTAACCACTACCTACTGCCTCATGAAGATCTTAGAGGTTCAACACCAAGTTATGAGCACAAAACATGGCTTAGAAAAGTAAGAGTACTTCCAAACATATTGTACAGAAAGAAGACTCAAAGATGACTGCAAAACTGCTAACCTGGACAAATGGAAGAAAGATGGTGTCAGTGACAAAAATTAGACAACTGGTAAAGAGAGTTGAAGAGGGAGGAGGGAGGCAAAAGAAGTGCTGGATTTGAGGTGATGGTAGAACATTCATAACAGTTCTATAGACGGAGCACCTGGCTGGCTTGGCAGGCAGAGCATGTGACTCCATCTTTGGGTTCAAAGTTCAAACCCTATGTTGGGTATAGAGATTACTTAAATAATAAAATAAAATAAAATCTTAAAAAAAAAAAAGAGTCCTGGAAACAACCAAAAATTATGATTATACAAATTAATTTTATTTTCTTCTCCAGATTAGAAGTCAGTGATTAAAGCTAGAGATGTGAGAGAGATGCCTGGATGGCTCAATCGGTTAAGCATTTGCCTTCAGCTCAGGTCATGATCACAGGGTCTTGGGATCAAGTCCCACATCAGGCTTCTTGCTCAGCAGGGAGCCTTTTTCCTCATCTGCCTGCTGCCCCCCTGCTTGTATACTCTGACAAATAATCTTTAAAAAAAATTAAGCTAGAGATGTGAATTCAACTATGATTAAATGTCCACTATATACCGGCAGTGCAATTGACAAAACATACTTTATTTTTATTATTTAGTATTTTTATTCATTTAATACTTACTATAAAACATTTAATTGTCTGCATTCTCTGAAACTATTGTCTTTCAAGGGTAGTGACAATGTCTTTTTCTTTCATTTAATCATCCAACAAGTACTTTTTGAGCACCTACAATGGGCAAACTCTAGGGATGTGATGGAAAACAAGGAAAACGATTCCTGCTACCCGTGAACATGGATTAGAGAGTAATGATTCTCAACCATTCCTGAACATTGGAATCATCTGTAAAGGAAATGTTACAGAAACAGGTATTCCAGCCTGATGCATTAACAACCCCGGACCCAATTAGTGCTTTCCAAAGTGGGCCCCGGTTAGGTTTAATTTTTTTAAGGGTTTCATAGGCAATTCTGAGAATCGGTGTTTAGGATCACTTTTAAAATGGGTGTCTTCGGGGCACCTGGGTGACTCAGTGGGTTAAGCCTCTGCCTTCAGCTCGGGTCATGGTCTCAGGGTCCTGGGATAGAGCCCCGCATCGGGCTCTCTGCTTGGCGGGGAGCCTGCTTCCCCCTCCCCCTCTGCCTACTTGTGATCTCTTCCTCTCTCTGTCAAATAAATAAATAAAATCTTTAAAAAAGAAAAAAAAAATGGGTGTCTTCACCAGTGTACTAGTTGTTTGGCACAAAGTAGGCACTCAAAATACTGAGTCACCATTTGATATTACTGCTACCTATTTAGTAGTCAAGGAGACTGAGAATGAAAGAAATTACTTTGCACATTGGTACACAGAGCCAACAGCAAAGCTAGAATACAAATGAGTACTTTCTGAGACAATCAATCCCATCAACCAAATGTGAGTGGCTGATAGGAAAAGGATCCTAGATAGTATAAAAGGAGATTGGAGTAATGTGTGTCGTGGAGGCTTGGAATCCCAGAAGCCAAGGGTGACAGGTGTCTGAAGAAGTCAAACTTCTCAGAAGAGCTAGCTCCCATTCACTGTCCCCACTTCTACACCTGTTAGCTATTGTTTTGTTCTAATTTTTATATTTTCGGTGTCATCAATTTTGACACTCAGAAAATAGAGCATAAAACAAACACCTATGTATCCACCAACAGCATTTACTATATCTCAACACTTGTCATCATTTTCAGGAATTGTTTTTTGGAAATGAGATGTTTACATTTACATTCTTCTACCTGAGAAACAATCATCAGTATTCATCATTCCTCTGCATAACTTTGTATTTTTTTTAAGATTTTACTTTTTAAGTAATGTCTATACACAATATGGAGCTTGAACTCACAACCCTAAGATCAAGAGTCACAGGCTCTACTGACTGAACAAGCCAGGCACCCCTCTGTAACTGTTATTACTGCAAATGAATATATGCATAATTAAGTGTTCTTATATATATCAAATTTTATATAAATAGTACCAGACAATTTGAATAATTTTGCTCCTTACCTTCTCCTCCCTTGAGATTTCTCTATGTAGTTCTGCTTCACTTAATTTAACTTTGTATTGGTATTATCAATAAACCACAATTTACTAATCCGTCTTTCTGTGGATAAACATTGAAGATGCTGCCTTTTTTAAAAATTGCAAACTGTGTTGCAGCATACATTATCATACATGAGCTCCGGGCAGCTCTATGGGATGTATCACTCTGCGGTTGGTGAGTTGGAGAGTACGCTTATCTTCAGCTTCACTACACATTCTCCAAAGTGACCAGATCAATTTATACTCAACACTTGCCTAAGAATTTCTACTGCTCCACTTCATTAACATTTTAAATTCTTGTCATCCTAATGGACTGTTGATGTTTTAATTTTAATTTACCTAACAACCAGTTAGATATAACATCTTTTCATGCGTATGGACCAATAATTTCCTGTTAATACCTACCAGCAGAATTTCTGGGTTAAAGTGTATATATGTAATTTTTTGAAACTGCCAAACAGTTCTGCAAAGTGGTTGTACCACTTTATACTCCCACCAACAATATATGGGTTTCAGTTGTGCCAATCTTTGTGAGCACTTGGTTTGTCAGGTTTGTTTTTTGTTTTTTGGTTTTTATTTTTTTTTTTAATTTTAGCCATTCAGGTGGGTATTAAGTGGAATCTCACTGTGGTTTTAATTTGCACTTCCCAAAGTACAAATGATGTTGAGCACTTTTTCATGTGCTACTTTTCCTTGTGAAGTGTCTGTTGGGAGTTTTTTGCCCATTTTTTTAAAAAGATTTTATTTATTTATTTCATGGGGCAGGGAGCATAAGAAAGGGGAGCAGCAGAGAGAAAGAGAGAAGTGATCTTCTTCTAGATTCCTTTGTATATCAATATATTTTAGAATTAACTTGTCAATTTCTATTTTTTTATTTGTTTTGTTCTTTCAAAGTTTATTTTTTTTAGTAATCTATATACCCAATGTGTGACTCGAACTTGGGGCCCCAAGATCAAGAGTTGCACACTCTTCTGAGCCAGCCAGGCAACCCCAGTTTCTATTTTTTAAATAGCCTTTAATCAGGAATGCCTTGAATCTACAATATAATCAATTTGGGAGGAAACTGGTAACTTACTATTTTGTCTTCCATTCTACAAACATGGTATATCTATCAATTTATGTTTTCTTTAATTTCTCTTGGCACTGCATTGTGTTTTTGTTTTTGTTTTTTTTAAGATTTTATTTATTTAGGGGGCACCAGGGTGGCTCAGTGGGTGAAGCCTCTGCCTTCAGCTCCGGTCATGATCTCAGGGTCCTGGGATCGAGTTCCACATCAGGCTCTCCGCTCAGCGGGTAGCCTGCTTCCCCCCACCCCCCGCCTGCCTCTCTGCCTACTTGTGATCTCTTTCCGTCAAATACATAAATGAAATCTTAAAAAAAAAAAAAATTTTATTTATGTATTTGACAGAGAGAGAGATCACAAGTAGGCAGAGAGGCAGAGAGAGAGAGGGAAGCAGGCTCTCTGCTCAGCAGGGATGCTGAGGCAGACGCGGAGCTCGATCCCAGGACCCTGAGATCATGACCTGAGCCGAAGGCAGCGGCTTAATCCACTAAGCCACCCAGGCGCCCCTGTATTGTGGTTTTTAACGCAAAGGTTTTTATTATGTATTTTTTGTTGTTGTTCTTAAACTTAGTCCCAAGTCTGTTTTTTTGATGCTAAGGCAAATGAAACTGCTTTAAAATTTTTATTTTCAATTGTTTGCTGCTAATATATAGAATAGATTTTTCATAAGTTCATCTTGTATCTTAAACTTACTAAAACTCATTATTTACTATAGTTTTATGAAAACACGTTGCCTAAGAATAGGGCAAATTTTGTTTCTAGCTTTATAACTTCTATGTCTTTTATTTGTTTTTCTTGCCTTGTTACACTGGTTAGGACCTGCAACAAAATGATGAATTGAGGTTGTATGAGTGGGCATCATTGGCTTATTATTATTATTTTTAATTTATTTGCTTGGCAGAGAGAGAGAGAGATCACAAGCAGGCAGAGAGGCGGGCAGAGAAAGTAGGGGAAGCAGGCTCCCCGCCGAGCAGAGAGCCCAATGCGGGGCTCGATCCCAGGACCCTGAGATCATGACCTGAGCCGAAGGCAGAGGCTTAACCCACAGAGCCACCCAGGCACCCTGGCTTATTTTAAGATTTATTTTAGAGAGAAAAAGAGAGTGAATGGGGGTGGCAGCAGAGGGAGAGAATATCAATCAACTCCACATGGAGCTCAGAGCCCAGCCTGGGGCTCAATCTCATGATTGAGCTGATATCAAGAGTTGGACATTAAGAGTTGGACACTTAACCGACTAAGCCACCTAGGCACCCCTGGCTTGTTCTGATCTTAGGGAGAAAGCATTCAGTTCATACCATTAAGTATCTTGTTAACTATAGGCTTTTCATACATGCCATTTATTGGGCAGGGGAAGTTCCCTTCTATCTGTAATTTGCTGACACTTCTCATGAATCTTGCTGAATTCTGTTTAATGCTTTTTCTATACCACCACCAAAATCAATATAGCCTTATATACACTGTAAGCAAATAATGCTACTATGTCCAAAAGAGGATACCTGATAGTGGCTCCCCAACCTGACATGATATTATGCATCAAAATGGGAATGTTTTATTTGGGATTTGGACATTACTTTGTTCCATTCGAAAACTATATCCGAAAATTTTTAAAAATTGCTCTTCTACATGGTAAAAGAACAAAGATATTAAGTTTTCTTCCTGATCCAGATCTTGCTTCACCAGTGAGAAGAAAAATAATACAAATTATAACATCATAAAAATACATTTTTTTAAAGATTGTATTTATTTTTTAACGTAATCTCTACAACCAACATTGGGCTCAAACCTACAACCCGAGATCAAGAGTTGCACACTCCACTGACTGAACCAGTCAGGTGTCCCTTTAAAAATTTTTAAATCCTTCTTTGGTTCTTGCACTCAATTTCATTCCTAACAAATTTTATGCTAAAGCCATAGTAACTTTTAATGTCTTGTGCTTTATGGCATATATTATAATGGCTACTACAAAGAGACATTTTAAATAAAATTTGGCTTTGTTATAAAACTAATAGAATTTGAAAAGAGGAAAAAGAAAACCACTCAAATGGATTTCTCTCCAGGCTCATTTTCTATACTTTTTCCTTTTTTCATTTATTAATATAGTTGAAATCACATCATATAGATAATTTTATGCCATTTGTTTTAACATTTACCCCAACGGTTTTCTTTATAAGCATACTAAATATTAAAGCTATTTTAAAATGTGTCTAGTTGCCATATTGCTAGTTAACTTATACTGCATGCCACCTCACACAAAAAAGCTTTTATTTTTAAAGATTTTATTTATTTATTTGACAAAGAGAGCACACACATGTGTAGGCAGAAGAGAGCACAAGCAGGGGTAGCTGAAAGCAGAGGGACAAAGAGGCTCCCCGCTGAGCAGGGAGCCCAACTTTGGGACTTGATCCCAGGAACCCAGATCATGACCTAAGCTGAAGGCAGACATTTAACCAACTAAGCCACCCAGGTGCCCCCCCAAAAGCTTTTAATATAGGTTACATGTAATGATTCTACCTTCACAAAAGTACTAAGTAGCTGTGCAATTTTAGGTAAAATACTTAATTTCTAGGGGCACCTGGATGGCTCAATTCAGTTAAGCGGCTGCCTTCAGTTCAGGTCATGATCCCAGGAACGTGAGATGGAGTCCTGAATTGGGCCCCCTCCTCAGCACGGAGAGTGCTTCTCCCTTACCTCCCAGCTCATGCTCTATCTCTGTTGCTATCTCTCAAAAATAAATAAATAAATAAATAAATAAATAAAATCTTAAAAAAAAAAAAAATTCTCTAAGCCTGTTTCTAATCTGTTAAATGGGATTAATAAAGAATATACATTATAGGGTTATTGTGAAAATTTAATAAGATAATATATGCAAAGTGTTTAGTACAGTCCTTAGCACATGGTGAATACTCAACAAATGTTAGCGATTACTATTCCATTAATACAAACCTCCTAGATGATTGCCCCCAGTGGCAGTGCTAAAAAGTGGTGAAAAAATTGTAAAAGGAAATCAACAGATTTCAGTTTTCAGTCTTGATTACTCATGGTGGATTATCTAGATCAGAGATCATGTGTCACCTGCTGATGTGTTTTATTTGGCCAGCACAACCTTTAAAAAAATTTTAAGGTGTGCTGATGAAACACAAAACTCTAATATTTTACAGATTTTAAATCTACAAAAATGGGAATTTCATGATTCAACTTAATGCCACCATTTTGAAACAGAGTTTACACACACAGTTTTCTGACTTCAGAAAATTAGGATGATATGGCAATAAGTCCAAATGTCTACATAGTAGTTATTAGCTGGAGCTAGTAGTACCAGCTGCTGTCCCCTTTAGATGGCACCTGTTTCTTTCTATTTGCTACGGTCCACACCATTCTATTTTACCTTATAAGCTGACAACTTCACTCATTCATATTACCCTGGCTGGCTGGCCATTAGAATTGGAAACCTCTTTTTTTTTTTTTTTTGGTAGACACACTGGAGAGGCGTGATGCTTATTTAGCATTCAAGTGGTCTGTTCAACTGTGGGAATTTTTTTTTACCCTGCCCAAATTAAAAATTTCGCTTGTTTTCTATGTAATATATTGATGAACAGGTTGAGAAGAGAAATATAAACACAGGCATCTTTTAGATGTTAATTAAGGTATATTAACTCACAATGCATAGCTGTGATGTACATAATAGTAGGGATCAAATAAAAAAATATTTAACATTTACTCCTCTCAGGTAAATTATGATTACTCCATACAGCTCTGGAGTCAAGGGCTCCAATATATTTGGAGCCATGAAGCCCCAGGTAAATCATTAAAAGTCTGAGCTTCAGCTTTTCCTTATGTACAATAAAGATAATACTGCACACCTAAAAAGGTTGAGCGGGGAGTAAATTAAGTAAACCCAGTGAAATGGAAACGTCTCTTAATGCCCCTATCCCACTCTCCGTCATTCCCTCTGGCGTCTATTAAGGGAGAAAGTGCTTTACAAAGCAGTCATTCCTTAATATTTGTTTAAGCACTATGTAGATAAAAATTCTCAAGGCGGGGAGGAGAATGTGTGGACTGAGAGCATCACACTGGACCAGGGAAGTCTATCCAAACCGGTATCATGGATGTTTATACTGCACTCTGAACTTTACAGGAAAACATTTAAATCTCATTCACTGAAGCCATCCTTTGTATTGTGTAACAAATAAAATTTCACCGGCATCCCCTGTAATTAGACCAGACTGAGGGAACCGAAATTGTAAGGCCCAAGGTACGCATTATTTTATACCTTCCGACCATCCCCAATTCTTCCTCTAGGACGCAGGACGCGCAGCTTTATCGGGGCACGACGACAAAGGGACCAAGCGAAAACACTATCGGCCAGGGGCAGGGAGGGACCTTGGCTACCGGGAGAGCAGTAGCCTGCGCGCCGCCGGTGCTCGAGCAGGGGATGGGCACCGATTCCCCGGGCGCCGGGCCCTGCCGCGGGAGTGCGCTGCGCCCGTGCGGAACGCGGGCCGGGAGGGCGGAGGAGCCAGTCCCGCCCCCGCTCCGAGTAGCCCGAGGGCTCGCACCGCCCCCGGGAAGGGCGCCTCCGCGGAAGGCACCGGCCGGGGCGGCGGGGAGACGCCGGGCCGCGACCCGGCTCCGGGACGCTGCCGTTACCTCCGCCCCTCCCCCGCGTGCCAACCTGCGGCGGCCGCCGCCGCTCACCTGGTGGCGTCCGCGACGTTCCTGACGAACAGGGAGGTGTTGGGGGGCCTCGTGTAGCGCGACATGACGGCTTCCTCCGTTGCCTCCGGGCCTGCCCGCGGCCGCCGGGCTCGCTCCGTTTCTCGCAGCCGCCACAGCAGTTCAGCCGGCCCCCGGCGCGACCCCCTCCCCTCGGCCTCGGCCCCGCGAGCGCGCAGCCGCAGAGGCGGGAGCGGGGGCGGGGGCGGGGGTGGAGGGGCGCTGCGCGGCGCGAGCCTGTCCGTGCGGACCGCGTGGGGGCGGGGCCCCAGCAGAGGGGATCCGGGGAGGGGGCGGCGCGGGGTCCCGAAGATCAAGGGGATCTGGGGAGGGGGCGGTGCGGGGGCCCGCAGGGATAAGGGAAGGGGGCTGTGCGGGAGTCCCGGGGTCCGAAGAGATCCGGGGAGAGGAAGGAGCGGCGTCCCGCAGACCAAGGGGATCTGAGAAGAAGGGGGCGGCGCAAAAGAGGATCGGGGACGGGCGGTGCGGAGGGTCCAGTGTTCCGAGGAGGTCTAGGGATGGGGCGGTGCCGGGTGCGCGGGGATCCGGGGAGGCGGCGGACTTGGAGGATAGAGTCCGAGGGATCGAGGGAGGGGGCGGCTGGGGTCCGAGTGTGCAGTACCGTGAAGGATAGAGGGGTCCTAGGAGCTGAAGCTGAGCTGGGAGTTAGAGGATCCGGAGAGAGGGTGTTGAGAGTCTTCGGAGTGGGTGGGGATGAAGACAGTTCAACTGCTGCACAGCCACCAGGGCCTTCATTCCTGCACCCTCAGCCCAAGGCCTTGGCAATTGTTCCTACTCCTGTCCCTTTAGACTTGAGCCTAGGTTTTCGAATTGTGAGGATTCGGGTTTTGTTTGTGCTTTGATTCTTCATCCGTTATTCCCTTAAGGCGTAGTATTCAGCTGTGGGTACATTCATTTAGGTGTTTATTGAGTGCCTACTCTGCACCGGGAACTGGGCTAGGTGTGGGATACGGCAATGAGCTTACACTGTAGAGAGAGGGTCCAACAATAAACGAATGAGCGATTGATTATATGATGTAAAAGAAAGCAATGAAAATGCAGCGGCAATTGAGCAAATTTAAAGTATCCTCTTTTCCTTGTTCCAAAATGTAGCCCAGCCCTTTCTGGTTACCCTCCTTCTTCAGGTTTGCTCTTAGAGTTGGCACAGCCTATTACCCAGAAACGTAACCAGGTAACTTGTAATTATTGATAGCACCCCCTTTTTAGTCTCAGAAGTGGCTGATATGAGTGGATAAGTTGGAGGGTCATCCTACTCCGCTCACAGTTATCTTTAAGGTGTGAGAGTTTCCCAAGTTCTAGAAACACTTCTAGAACAGTGGCCATTTGTTCAAAAAGGAATTGCTTTGGCACAGCAGGCACAGGGCTAGACAGGGAATATATAACGGTAGGGAGTGAGCAGGGTCCCTAATCTCATGGAGCTTACAGTTTGGTAGTGGGGCAGAATCTAATAATAACACTAATAAATGCATAAACTATGGTATGCTGCTGAAAGGGAACCTTACAGTGGTTGGCAAGCAGGGCTAGAGGGTCACTGAACTTCTCCCTGAAGTCTTGGGAAGGTGTTTGAAGAATGAAGAAGAGCAATCCATGCCCTGGAACAGCATGTGCAAAGACTCTGAGGCAAGAGGGACTGAAAGGAGGCAAGCAGGAGTAAAAAGCTGAAGAACAGGGAAGTGAGGCTGGAGAGCAGACTGGGTTTCGAGTAGGGAAATTTGGAATGCTGAGTGTACTGGTTTGCTAGGGCTGGCATACAAATTACCTCTAATTCAGTGGTTTAAAACAAGAGAAATTTACGGGGTGCCTGGCTGGCTGGATCAGTGGAGCATGAGACTCTTGATCATTTTGAGTTTGAGCCCCACATTGGGTATAGAGATTACTTTAAATCTTAAAAAAAAAAAAAAAGAAAGAAAGAAAATTATTCTCTCACAGTTCTGGAGGTCAGAAGTCTGAAATCAGGTGTTGGTAGGACCACACTGTCTCTGAAGGTTCTAGGGGAGAATCCTTCCTTGCTTCTTTCAGTCCCTGCTGCCTCCAGACATTCCTTGGCTTCAGGGTGCGTATCTCCGGTCTCTGCTTCCATCTTCATAGGACCCTCTCCTCTTCTGTCTTATAAGATTACTTGTCATTGGATTTAGGGCCCACCCAGATAGTCCAGGCTGATCTCATGTCAAGGTTCTTAATTGTAAGTAGGGGTGCCTGGGTAGCTCAGTTGGTTAAACAGCTACCTGGGTTAAGGTCTTGATCCCAGGGTCCTGGGATGGAGCCCCATGTCGGGTTCTCTGCTTAGTGGGGAGCCTGCTGCTCCCTCTCCCTCTGCCTGTTGCTTCCCTTGCTTGTGTTCTCTCTCTCTCTCTCAAATAAAGAAATAAAATATTACAAAACAAAACAAAAAGAGAGTCTTAATTGTAGCTGCAATGACCCTTTTTCCAAATGAGGTCATATTTGGGGGTTAGGGGTTGGACATAACTTTTCTGGGGCCACCATCGAACCCGCTATACTGACGTTGTGGAGAAAAGACTTGACTTGGTGGGAAATTAGTTATTAATAAACCTATTCCTTGACCTATTAAGTAGGGTAAGAACTCCATGTAAACTATGAATTTGGGGCACCTGGGTGGCTCAGTTGGTTAAGCATCTGCCTTCAGCTCAGGTCATGATCCCAGGGCCCTAGAATAACACAGGGCTCCCTGTTCAGTGGGAGCCTGCTTCTCCCTGACCCTCTGCCTGTTGCTCCTCCTGCTTGTGCGCTTGCTCTCTCTCTTTCTGTCAGAAAAATAAAATTTTTAAAAAATCTTTAAACTATGAACTTACTTAGTTAAAAATATATGTATTTGTATGTCCATATATAAATGGGATTGTTTTCTAGGTGGAGACATTACACTCTGATTTTTACTTTCTTCTCATGTTTGATCATATCAGATTATTTTTGAAATCCGTTTTATAATTGGAAAAATCCTACAAAGCTCTTTATAGTTCGAGGAAGAGCTTTTGTCGAATTATATGAAAAGACTTACATTACATGAGAAGTGGGTTTTTTCCTGTTCCTATTGATGGAGGTTTCTGAGGAAAGGGTTTTAAACTGTGAAAGAAGGTTCATTTAGACTCTTGAACTTTAAAAATAGCTGGAATTGGGGGCACCTAGGTGGCTCAGTTGGTTAAGTGTCTGATGCCTGATTTCAGCTCAGGTCATGATCTCAGAATGGTGGGGTTGAGAGTCTGCTTGAGATTCTTTGCCTCTCTCTCTTCCTCTGTCCTTCCCCTTCCCTCTCTTTTACATACTCTTTCTCTCAAATGAATAAATAAATAAAAATCTTTTAAAAAGTAGCTGGAATTGATTTAAGATTTTATTTTTTTATTTAACAGAGATCACAAGGAGGCAGAGAGAGGGAGAGGAGGAAGCAGGCTCCCCGCTGAGCAGAGAGCCGGAGGTGGGATCATGACCTGAGCTGAAGGCAGAGACTTAACCCACTGAGCCACCCAGGCGCCCTGCTGGAATTGATTTAAAGTAAGTTGTGGAAATGGTGACTGTGAGGAGATGGACATGTTAATTATTTTGACTATAGTGGTCATTTTACTGCGTATATATGTGTATGTTTATCAAATCATCATACACCTTAAATGTGTGTATTTTTTATTTAAGAGTTTAGTTGTAGAGCCGTAATTATTTATATTACAGAAAAGTATATGCTCTTCTTGTTTCTGAATATGAAGTGTAAAGAAGGGTAAGTGAGCTGCTTTCTAGTTGGAAGGCCTGAGGAGGAACATGGTCAGGCATGGACAATGAAAGAAGGTTATACAATGCCAGTGTAGGTCCTCAAACCAGCTGAGATGAGTAACTAATGAAACCATATTTTTTCCTTTCCTTGACGTTTTGAAGTACTTTAAAGAAGTAGGGAAGAGGCTTAGGTCAAGACTGAATACCCTGCCTGTCACCAGACTCACAAATATATGCACATTTATCCTAGGTCCTAGAATTTAGCGAGGTGACATTTAGTAAATCAATCATTGCTTTGAGACACCAAATGGTATCTTACAGGCTTGGGAAAGTTAATGTTCTTTCAAAATCACCAGGAAACTCCCAAGGAGTATACCACTGGCAAAATCTGACAATAATTTACAGCAGAGTTTAATACATTGTCCTTTGCAGAAACTGTTTCCTTTCCATTTAATACATTTTTTAAAATTACAGTCTATCCTCACCACAAAAAAGAAATAACTGATTGAAAATTAAATTGTACATGGGTATGTGTGAGTATCTTAAAATCTATGCAATGAAAATACTTTGAAGAAACAGGGGCGCCTGGGTGGCTCAGTGGGTTGGGCCGCTGCCTTCGGCTCAGGTCATGATCTCAGGGTCCTGGGATCGAGCCCCGCATCGGGCTCTCTGCTCGGCAAGGAGCCTGCTTCCTCCTCTCTCTCTGCCTGCCTCTCTGCCTGCTTGTGATCTCTGTCTGTCAAATAAATAAATTAAAAAAAAAAATTATTTTAGAAAATACTTTGAAGAAACAAATTCAGAATTAATGAAGTCACCTGACTGTGAATCTCTCTCTTAATGCTGGGAGCTCACTCCCCAACAGATGGTGCTAGCTCTCCTCTAGTTAGAGCTGCTCTGGTCTACCCTTTCTTAAAATGTACCATGCATGACCTTGAAGGTGAAGGGTGATGTGGTGATTTGCTTAGAATGTATTGTAAACTTTCTTCTGTTGCCCCAAACTTCAGCTTATAAAACATTATTCCAACAATCCAGTTGAAACATCTATGATTGTATCCTCTTAGGAAGTTGATTTCTTCCACAGTAGCTGTAGGAAATAATTTAAAAGGTCATTTATATGATAACAATGGATGGTATTTAACTCTTTCAGAAACATTGGCTTACAGAAGGCCTGCCACTTACCTGCATATTCCCTCAAAATGACAATCGGTCTTGAAAATGTTAGAGGTGTGTGCTTCTTCCTCACCTAATTAATTTGGCAATTGTTTAGTGGTGATCTACTCTATATTAACCATAGTGCTAGGAACTGGGGACGAAAATAGAAGTAATGCTTTATAATTCTGAGAGACCCAGCCCAGTGTTTCCCAGACGTAAGTCAAGTATTTTCATATATCCTACGAGATTTTTGC